TCTTAGGAGTGTTTCCAGTTGTGTCTGATGGGTGCCATGCACTGGCACCAAACTCTATTTTTGGTATTCACTGGGGAGTTCATTGCTCTGCTCCCCTTGCTGTTCAGTTGTACATCCTTAGTATTTCACTTGGTGGACCACACTAATCTTATGGGATCTCTGAGACTGTGGCCCTTTGATGCCTTCAAACCTAGAACTGAATCTACCTCCTGGAAAGAACATGCAATTAAGCGATAGCTTATAAAGTGAGCATTCCTTGTTCAAAAGCAAAGCTCAGAAGGCAGGAAGGGGCAGAAAAGGAATAATGGGAACCAGGAACCTAGGAGGAAGTAAGAACAAGTTTGTTACATTGAAGGAATCGCAAATACTGTTCCCAATAAATTGTGTATACACTATTAAATGGAAAACTAATTTATCTGTAAACTTACATCCAAACCACAAAAAGGGGGGGTTGGTGAAGAGTTGGAGAAGAAAAAATAATGGAGGTTCAAGTCCATCTAAGATACCCTGAAAGACAAGTCTACCAAAGTACTTCTGAAAAAGCAGCCATTAACAATCCTTGGTACCACAATTGGACTCCTAGGATCACCATGAGCCAGAATCAACTTGTATTTTTCATCTACTATACCAAGGAGCTTGAGAAAATTTACTGTGAGATGCATAATATCCTCTATAGGTTACACCGGAAGGACTTCATGTGGAAACCCCACTAAGTAAACTGGGCTTTACCCCACACTCACCGGCAGCCCATAGACTTGAGGTAAACTCCCTCGTGTGAGAAGAAATAGATGACTGCTAACAAAAGGTTATAGAACTGGTGGTATTTTGGCTTTGATTGGGGTTTCTTGCCTTGAGGGTGCACAGCAAATGATGGACCCAAGTACCATATAGTTACTAGTAGTTTAGTTCCCTCCTTGTGTTAGTAGGACATTTATTAATTGTTAGGTATGAATCTACTATTGTGAATAAATATTATTAAAAGTTTTCCTCTATCATCAATCTTCACTGTTTGTGTAAATAGTGTCCAGTCAATTAAGAGGTTAATTTGTCTAAGTCAACCATTAAGTATTGTGGTTTGTAGTTGGCTGATTTTGTATGAGTGACTTTTCTCAACAGTTATTTAAATTCTATACCACTGGCTAAATTATGACATTATCAATAGAATGATACTACCAATAGAATTGCCTTATGCTTCAGGGGACTGACTGATAATGTTCTATACCATAAAATTATAATGCTGTCTTTAAGGTAAACCAGACACATATATAAACCATAGATAGATTAATGGATTTGGGGCTCACACTTGATTCTAGTCATAATCTAAACTCAATTAGTTATTATGACACCCTTCTCCTGAGGTGTGAATAAGAGATAATAATAAGGATAAA